GTGTATAAGAGACAGCCCCTGAGGCGGGCGGCGAACGTGTTGTAGGTACGAGCTGCCGGCGCCGTCCTCCGGGCAGAAGAACGACATCACGGCGTGGCAGGAGTGTGTCAACAACTCCATGGCGCAGCTGGAGCACCAGGCTGTCCGCATTGAGAACCTGGAGCTGATGTCGCAGCACGGCTGTAACGCCTGGAAGGTCTACAACGAGTAAGGCCCCGTCCACGCTGCTCAGCGTGGAGCTGCGGGCTCCACCGTGAAACTCCGTCGGCTCGCGGCAAGGGCCGACCCAGCTCGTTGGAGGTTTAGTCTGAAAGCTGCTTGTGTCCTGCTTGGCGTACCGGCGTCGTGCCGCTCCCTCGGGAGCAAAGAGCACGGGCTGCACAGGGAGAGCTTGGCTGGTGTTTGCATTGAAGCGGCTTGTCGCATCCTTGATGTTGAGGAATTAAATTGCAGGTTAAATGGGTCTGATCTAGCAGTTGTGTGTTTTCCTAATGCTTTGCTTGTCTTATTAGGCATCTGGTTCATATGATAGAACAAGCCCAGAAAGAGCTTCAGAAGTTGAGGTGAGTCATTTCTTCATACTTTCATACTGAAGTTAGAAGGGAAGTAAACCCCTCTCTGTACCCAAGCTGTACAAAGGCTTGTGTATATATTGCTGCTGTGATCGTAGGAAAAAAGACCCAGTAGTAGCAATAATTAAGAAATGTGACCCTGCCCTTCCTAAGCAGTTACATTCATAATGCCAGTTCCACTCAGACTTTATTTTGCTTTGTCCGAATGTCTGCTTTGAACAGAATGGATTGTAGTGAAATCCTCTCTGAAATGCAGCCATGTTTTCACTGCTGATAAACTTTTATTTAGTGTGTAGTTGTCTCAGCAAAGACATGATGTTAGGTTTGGCCTCTGCTTTTACAGTGGATGCTTTAATGAGTTTAGAGAGTTGGATGACTGGGGGATGGAGGCCGTAGTGTATTGAAAGATGCACCTTTGTGACTGGCTCCATTTGGGCAGCATGCTGTGGACTTGGCAGGTGAAGCTTTACAGCTCGCAGACGTGGGTGAACTGCTGTCATTTCACCCCAGAGATGGGTCTGTGTGCAGGGACGTGGGTCAAAGGTGAGCTGCATGCTGATTCCCGTCCCACAGCACCTGTGTGTTGGATTTGTGCAGTTACTGTCTTGAACAGAATCGATGGGGACAGGGTAGCAGCAGAGCTCAGGCTGGGAGAGTTTTTGGAACACCTTGATGTGTGGCGAGGGCCAGTGGAATGTGAGCTGCGCAGAGACCGTACGGTTTTATGTCTTCTGCACTTCTCGGGTGTTTCACTGAATTCTGTGAATGACTATCCATTCATCTTCGCTTTTCTGACTTTTTTTTCAGAGAGAACAAAACATTTTCTCTGTTCTGTACTTGCCCAGGAGCAGTAGGCTTGGATGTTTGAAGTTTTGCTTGTAGTAGAGTGGAAGTTTTTGTGGTTTTTATTTTAAAAAATAAAATAAAATGTAGGGTTCTGTGTGCAGCTCTGTACTGGAATTTGTCCATCTATATGTTGTAGTTACAGTCCTGGCTACACAAGTGTGCTTTGGCAGTACTTACAGGCACTAGGTGTACTTCAAAATTAGCAGCAGATATTACAAATCTTAAAGAAAGGAGACAAAAAAAATACATAGATCTTTTTCTCACCAGGAAAAACATTCAAGATCTGAACTGGCAACGAAAGAACATGCAGCTCACAGCCGGGGCTAAGCTACGAGAAATGGAATCTACGTGAGTGTCTGGAATTTTTCTGTTAAATCTTCCACAAGTATATCTCTTGCTTCAGATTCTTCCATGCAGAGCATCAGAGGTTTTTCAGTACTGTTGTAGGATGTTACCACGTGAGCACTGTTGCTTTGCACAGTGCTTTAAAGGATTTGAAATTCAGGTCTGGGTAATAGTTACTGTGGTTCAGTGAATCAATGAGCAACAGATATGAAAAGGAGGGGGTGTATTAGCTGCTTGAAATTGCCTAAATTGTTTTTTAAGCTTTATCTAAATACTGGAAGTTAGTGCATCTGAGTCTAGTAAATTAAATTTTGTATGTTAAGGTTTTAACAGGGTTAAAAACTACTTTCTGTTGCTCTCATTTTTCAAGTTACCATCGACATTAACTGAAGTTCATCATGTACTGAGAATAATACTGCTTTATTTGGTATCTTTGTGCTTTCTTTGGAGCAATAGTTGTCTTTGATTTTAAACCAGAGGACTGTTAAATAACACTTCAAGGCTTTATTTCTTTTCCCTTCTAGATGGGTGTCTCTTGTCAGTAAAAATTACGAGATTGAACGAACTATTGTGCAGCTAGAAAATGAAATTTCACAAATCAAACAGCAGCATGGGGAAGCAAACAAGGAGAATATCCAGCAAGACTTCCAGTGACTTAATCCTTACTGTCTTACTGCAGCATATGTTAAAAAAAAATAATTTGGAGATGCTGTTTTCTAGACACCTCTAGTTGCCGTTGTGTAAGGTGATAAAAAGGTATTTTGATTGTTTCTTTTCCTTGTTTTGACTTCTGGGAGGAGGCAGAGTGGACTCAACCTGCCCCGTTCAAAGGTGTTTTGGGCACGGTTAAACATACGGCGAGTTGCTTCACTTCTGACGTATCTAAGTTGGGAGCTCTTAAAGGAAACCTGTCCCGTGTTTTATCTTCCCTTACGCGTTTAATAAACGTTGTTTTGCTATCGGTGCGGCTTCCGCGTTGCGTTCAGAACCTCCGGGTGCTGCCGCGGGGGGCGGGGCCGGCGCACGCGCAGAGCGCGGGGTCGCGCGCACAA